CTTAAGTCCTTCTGTCTGGTTCATAATTATAGTCATATGTTGTATCATCATCTAATGCCTTTAACATTATTATCCATAACTACTACTACTCCTACTAGTTGCTCAATCTCCGTATAATAGTCTTGACTGTCCTATTCTTATATGGTGTTTCTAAATGACCATCAATTTTATGGACAACTTGTAGTTCAATGTAATTCCTAGTACTCCATTAAACTTATCAATTCTACCAAATTGTCCTCTTTGAAATCCTTACCAGTTGGAAAGGCAAAGTTTAAGCCCTTTGATAGGACCTCCTCAGTAGAAATGCCCAATTAAATTTTGGCAACGGCTATTTTTACACTTCAATTCATTAGATGTGGGTCGTTTCCTTGAGCCAATTCTTATTTCCAAAATTCTTAATTTCTCATAATGTGTTTTCCTAACCTGTCGGAATATCGTATCAGGTAAACGATTTGCTATACTTTGGAGTTTCAAGAAGTCTTCCAAACTAAGAATATCGGCCGAAATTTACATAGGTCTGATCAAGAAATGTAACTTTTAAATGTTTTCCTGAAGTTGAATATTAACCTTTTGTGACATGTCCAAAAGATCTGTGAGCCGAGGACTTCTTCGCACAATTAAACAGTTTTTCTTATGCCACAATCCTCCTTCAGTTTCTGGTGAGACCAATTCACAAATTACTTCCAACCAACTTTCCCTTCGAAATGGAGTCATGGGACAATATTTTATTAAGGAATTTTTCGAAACCCAGTTTTTATTCAAAGCCAATATTTTGTCATTGCAATTGACTACGTTACTTATCAAGATCTGACAATATCGAAACCCAGTCATTATTATAAGATATGTAATCGGTTGCAAACTGTCTTTCGATCCTTTATTGCTAAGGTGACTTATGATGTGCCCATTTGTCCATCAGTTCCTTTAGATATAAAAGCCCTGACTAAACTCCGACCTAATCAAGCCTCTTTTTGCTTGGTAGTTCGTACTGTTCTCCTCACCCTAATTCTATCCAACAGACAAGTATAATTTGTATTCAATTTCCTAAGATAGAGAAGTTGTTTAATCTTGTTTTCGCAACTTGGTCGTATTGGTAGGATGACCTAGATGAACACGCCTTGTTCGAAGTCCATAGTATACATAATAATTTCCAGAATCTGATCTTCACACCATTTTGGTCTTCATACCTTCAATACATAAAATTTTGTCGTTTCAAATTGAAAAACTCTGAATCTTGGCTGTTTAAATTAACAATTTCTTATAATTTCTTTCATCTGGTTGGTGATAGACTAGCTAACGATAATCGAGGCAACAGTCTTTAAATTTAACTTTAGATCAGTACTCAGAGCTTAATGGTGGGCTTGATTGGTTCGGAGTCTAGTTTTATAACTCACTTGACCATGGGGCATAGTATGAATACGCATACATCCCCTCAACATAAAATCTGCTGTCATTGCATAATCAAGAAAGTTAGATGCTGGTTTTTCACACCGCTACTATTCTATATTGACAGGATAGACTAACACAGCATCGCCTAAGGTGCATCGAAGTGCTTTGCTTTTTAATTACTTGTTACAATTCCAAGGAACTTTTTGAAAAGTTCTTTGCCCTGATCTCTACATTCCCTTTCATTGCTATATCCTTTCGCTATATGACGATCTTCTTCAGATCCAGAAATAATACTTTTCTAATTTGTTATATATATATTCAATTTAACTTTGATTTTATTAACAATGTTTGGATAGGCTTTTAATCCTTATTATCTTTTGTAACGAACTTGCCTGATTTCTTTAGAAATTCTTTAGTAATCCGTTATTTTGAAATTACTGTTGGTTTACAGCTAAGCCATGCTTATTGGCGGGGTGAAGAATCTCTTCATATTGTTTTTATGTCTCATCGGCATCCAAACATCTTGCCAGATAAAACAAGTGTTTTCACTTAAATTCACTATTGTTCGCGGCGTCAGTACATTAAATTTTGCGTCATGGGAACTATCATTTTAATTCTTTTGAAACAGAATTGCTTCTTTCGTGTTAGACGCATATTCTATCGAGCTGTCACCGAGATTTTTACATTACTAATCAGCAACGTTAATATTTAATACTTCAAGGACAATGGAACAATGAGAATGGGACTTAGTCGTTCAGGTTTTTCAACAAACAAATGGCTCAGCAAATGTACGATTTCACTTTTGATTTAAAAACCTGTCTTATTACTTTGGGCTTTGGCTGACTTTCTTTGCAACCGGTTCTTGCATCTGACATTAGCCTTTAACTTGACCATAGTCAAAAACATCTCGTGAGTCAAAGTATTGAGGCCAGCATCCCGAGAACGGTCCGACGCTTGAAATTATGAATACTACTATAGCATATGACTTAGGACAAGGCGCGAAAACGAGGTCAGATCACTTCTATATATCGAAACGAGACTGCGGCCAAAATAGAGGCCGCAACATCTTGGTCTTCATATCCACGTTGAGATTTATATTACTCAGCTATCAAAATGTTTAATATACTTTAACTTCCATATCTATGATTTTAGACTTCGCTTTCTATAATCTTTTATGTTCTTTTCTTGGTTTCTCCTACCATTTATGCACATCCAATTTGCCATAATTCATGAATGGATTGGATACCCGAAACAAGATAAATATATCGGTGCTATAATCTCAGATGATTGTGACACCACTGTTTCTGATTCACCGACGTCTAAGCAACCAACTTCATCCCTCGGCTCCAGTCATTCTTCCGACATTTCAAAAACTCGACCGGACCCATTCGTTTCGTCAAATACTTCCACTACAACTACACCCTCCACCATAGGTGTACTATCTACCCAGCCTATTCATTCACTCTCTACGAGCAGTCGTGTAATCGTGGAGATTGGCGGGCGCCTTGATACTGGTCATTCTATCCTCCCATATCTGACCAGAGATCTGGTTGGCATTCTCCCATCCTCGACTAGATCTCATGCTGATATCGTCGACAGTTCGCTGGCTAGTCGTCTGTTTGCTCCAGGACCAGCTGGCGCCGGTTCTGACTCTAATACAAGTAGCGGTGGCTCTAGAACTTCAGGTCCAGAGAGCCAAGGTCTCGGCTTCGATGGTTTTACTAGCATATCAACCGGCAGTGATCAGGTGGCAATCTACAAGGTCAATGAAGATCTTTCTGTTTGTCAGACTGCCGACTACATCAAGCTTCCAAGTTCAGTTAGATATGTCAAAGCTGTCATACGTAAAGTAATTCCTGTACTCTACCACTTATAAATATATGTTTACCTATATTTAACTTCATTTTAAATTTATTTTATTGTTTACTATGGACAAGTAGAATTCCGGTTTAGGTTCTTGCATGCATCAATGTATTTTCATGCTTATACAGTTCCTAGAGAGTAGAAAATAATAGAAAACTTTGAAGTGAAAAGTTGTAATCATAGCCCTTTACATTTCTTCTGCAATGCCTTCCAAGCTTATTTCACAGGAGTAGCAGTCATAACCCATATGAGCGTCACATTTTCTGCAAATGATGAACATTTGAAAATAATGGACTCATTTTTCGTTTGTAAATATCTATTGAGACTACCAGTATATCCGATTTATGAGATTTATTCAGCCTATTTGTTTAAGGTTCTGAAAGAGTGGTAGCTGAGTTTTACAACAATTATATGAATAGGTCTTACGTTTTAATTGAATTACACATAGAATTGCTTCCCAAATGGTATGCTCATCCATAGTGGATGACACTTTCGACCTCGCCTAGGTCTTTTAAAAACCACCAGCGGGTCTCGAACAGTGATTATGCAGCGTATAATCTCGGCACATTAACCATTACGCCATATTGCCATGAGTGCATCTGGGCTACAGAGCAGATGTGAATTTCAAGCATGGAAAGCCATTTTTTCATATTACATTATGTGGTGGGATTGTCGATAAAGCAAAGTTGTATTTTGTGTAACAATCTACTACCTTACTTATTTTTTTCATAATAAGTAATTATATAATATATAATTTAATAAATAAAAAGATGTTTTATTATCTCTCTCTCTATATATGGTCGAGAATAGTGGTTACTTTTTAACTCAAAACATTTTGAAGATACGAACGAAAAATTAGTTTTGAATAATCTCATGAGATTTCACTTCACATGAAAGTGCTTGAAGAAGAGATTCATAGGTTGATCTCACCAGATGAGAGCGGCTGATTACTCTTGTACTGCAGCCGCTTTGCCTTAATGTGACGTTCAGGTTGAGGCGATACACGAGACCTAAACTTTCTATAAGGGCCAAACAGTTAAATGGGAATTAGCTGTCGAATTCTCGTGATAGCAAACTTCGAATCTCTTCTCTATGCAATTTTATACGAACAGAAAGTATCCACAATAATTACTTTGTGTCCACACTCCTTGTTTCGTAGATATACGAACACATCAAGACACACAAACACACCTGAAATTCACATCTGCCCTGTGACTTACTTATACTCTGGAAATATGGCGTATTGGTAACACGTAGAAATTATTCGCATCACTATCCGGATTCGCCTCCTGTTATAGGTGCTGATGAGCCTTAGCTCACTATGGATGAATATACCTTTTAGAGAGCAAGTGTAAATGATATTTAATGGCATGAGGTCCGCTTGTATTATTGTGGGGAGAATCAGCTATCGGTCTTTCATAACCTTATTCGACTTAGGGTGACTTCAGCTCTGATTATAATTCTATAGCTTTAATTGTTAATTCGCAGGCATAAATTAAC